GCTCGCGGGGCGAAGGAGGCGTACCCCTAGGGCCGAAGTACGCCTACTAGTACGACCCGGCGGGTCCAACTAGTAGGCCAGAGTAGCCCTACCAGTACCCCCCCCAACCCCCCAAGGCCGTACTAGTACGGCAAAGTAGCCCTACTAGTAGCTCTGCCGGGGCGGACTTTCGGGGACGTCTCGAGCAGAGGCTCACTCCGCCGGTCGTACTAGGAGCCCAAAGTAGCCCTACTAGTAGCCCTGGCGGGGCGGACTTTCGAGGATGTCTCGAGCGGAGGCCCCCTCCGCCGGTCGTACTAGTAAGCCAAAGTACCCTACGAGTACGCCCCCGCCACTCTCCCAGGGACCGTACTAGTAGCCTAAAGTAGCCCTACTAGTAGCCCCTCCAAAGCGAACTTGTGAGTATGTCTCAGGGGGGGCTCTCTCCGCAATTCGTACTAGTAGGCCAAAGTAGCCCTACTAGTACGCCTCCGCCAACCCCCCAGGACCGTACTGGTAGGCCAAAGTAGCTCTACTAGTAGCCCCGCCGGCCATCCCCCCGGGTCCGTACTAGTAGGGCTACTTCGGCCCTACTAGTAGCACCGCCGGGGCGGACTTTCGAGGATGTCTCGAGCGAGGGCCCCCTCCGCTGGTTGTACTAGTAGGCAAAAGTAGCCCTACTAGTACGCCCCGGAGGGGCGGACTTTCGAGGATGTCTCGAGCGAGGGCCCCCTCCGCCGGTCGTACTAGTAGGCCAAAGTAGCCCTACTAGCACGCCCCCGCCAGACCCCTCTGGACCGTACTAGTAGACCAAAGTAGCTAGCCCTACTGGTAGCCTCGCCAGGGCGGACTTTCGAGGATGTCTCGAGCGGGGGCCCTCTCCGCCGGTCGTACTAGTAGGCCAAAGTAGCCCTACTAGCACGCCCCCGCCAGCCCCCCGGGGCCCGTACTAGTAGGCGAAAGTAGCTCTACTAGTAGCCCTGCCGGGGCGGACTTTCGAAGATGTCTCGAGCGGGGGCGCCCTCCGCCGGTCGTACGATTGGCAAAAGTAGCCCTACGAGTACGCCCCTCGGCCCTACCAGTAGCCCCGGCGGGGCGGACTTTCCATAATGTCTCGAGCGGGAGCGCCCTCCGCCGGTCGTACTAGTAGGCCAAAGTAGCCCTACGAGTACGCCCCCGTCAAGCTCCCAAGGGCCGTACTAGTAGGCCAAAGATACCCTACTAGTAGCCCCGCCAGGGCGAACTTTCGAGGATGTCCCGAGCGGGAGCCCCCTCCGCCGGTCGTGCTAGTAGGCCAAAGTAGCCCTATTAGTACGCACTCGCCATCCCTTCAGGCCCGTACTATTAGGCCCAAAAAACCCGACTAGTAGCCCCCGTTTGGGCGGACTTTCGAGGATGTATCAAGCAGGGGCGCTATCCGCAGGTCGTGCTAGTAGGCCAAAGTAGCCCTACTACTACGCCCCAGCCATCCCCCCAGATCCGTACTAGTAGGGCCACTTCGTCCCTACTAGCAGCCCCGGCGGAGCGGGCTCCAGAGAATGTCTCGAGCGGGAGCGCCTTCCGCCGGTCGTACTAGTAGGCCAAAGTAGCCCTACTAGTACGCCCCCGCCAGCCCCCCTGGGCCGTACGAGTACGCCAAAGTAGCCTTACTAGTAGCTCCGCCGGGGCAGAGTTCCGAGGATGTCTCGAGCGGAGGCCCCCTCCGCCGACCGTGCCAGTAGTAGGCTCAAGTAGCTCTACTAGAATGCTCCGGCCTAAACCCTCCAACCCCTTCCCTCTGCCCCCTCCCCCCTCTCTATCTCTTTCTTTCCCTCTCTCTCTCTCTCTCTCTCTCTCTCTCTCTCTGTATTCCTCGTTTTTCCCTCTCTCCGTCCCCCCGACCTCCCCCTTCCCCCTCCTCCCTCCTTCCCACTTCCTCGTCGCCGGCGCTGCCGCCGTCGCCGTCGTCGTCGTCGTCGCCGTCACGCAGCCCCAAGCCGACCCCGCGGAAGCCCCAATAACCACAATTAAGGCTAATCGTGATAAGAAGATTACACCTACGATTCGCACATCGCTCGGCGATGGTAAAGTTCAGTCTCGCCACCCCCTTCCGCCGACCAAACGTATCTTTCCAGAAGTATCCAACGCGGCGGAGTTTAGGATCCCAGACGTACTCCCATTATCCGGTACACGACGGTACTCACACCAGCTACCTCACCAGAGCGACTCTCGAGAGCGCTTCCATCAGAACCCCAGAGAAACATTTTCTCACGGAGAGCGATTGCAAAGTCATTCCCTGAAGCCTTCCACTCTCCACCCTGGCACAGCGTAGACACAGTACCACCACAATATCATACAATGAAACAGGAGCACCCTCAAACAACCAGGCACCCGACACGCGTGAACCCCACCCATGAGACCTTTTCCCGCTCTTCACTGTGAATATCAAACCCGAAACCGCAACCCCCATGGGCCCATGCCCGCTGCATCTCACACGACCGATGGCGCACCCGACTCAGAGCCGGAGTCTACAACGGTCGGAGCCACATCGCGGTCGGCACCCACCTCGTCTGGCACGATTAACGGCGCGCCCACCTCGCATGCCGACTCTACTGCTGGATAGACAGTATCCGGATCCATGCCCTCCGCGCCGGACTGGAAGGGCGCCGCGCCCGCGCGCGCGCCATGACACCCGGTGCCGAACCCGCCCGCGCCCGCGAAAGGCAACGAGAACCTCAGCGGTGACTCTGTGAACCAGCTCTCGTTGGCGGCGCGCTGCCCATCGCGGTCGGCACCCACCTCGTCTGGCACGATTAACGGCGCGCCCACCTCGCATGCCGACTCTACTGCTGGATAAACAGTATCTGGATCCATGCCCTCCGCGCCGGACTGGAAGGGCGCCGCGCCCGCCTGATTGCGCCACGCCCGCGCAACATGAGGTGTCACCGACTCAGCCGCTGACTGCTGGGCAGCGGGTTGCCCCTGCCCCCGATTCGGCCGAGGATGGGTTACCACCCCCAGCCCGGACGCAAAAGATTACCCCTGCGCCCGATTCGGCCGCCGATGGGTTACCACCGGCGGCCCGGAGGCAAGGGGTTACCCCTGCCTCCGATTCGGCCGAGGATGGGTTACCACCCCTGGCCCGGACGCAAGGGTTCCCCCCTGCGCCCGATTCGGCTGACGATGGGTTACCACCAGCGGCCCGGAGACAAGGGGTTACCCCTGCCCCCGATTCGGCCGAGGATGGGTTACCACCCCCAGCCCGGACGCAAAGGATTACCCCTGCGCCCGATGGCCGCCGATGGGTTACCACCGGCGGCCCGGAGGCAAGGGGTTACCCCTGCCTCCGATTCGGCCGAGGATGGGTTACCACCCCCGGCCCGGACACAAGAGGTTACCCCTGCGCCCGGCCGCTGTCTCGTCGTCGTCGTCGTCGTCGTCGTCGTCGTCGTCGTCGTCGTCGTCGTCAGCTCCTCAGTCACCCTGTCGGGCACGCAGGCCCGTGGCGGTAACAAATGTGCTGAAGCCCAGCTCAGACGCGGCTAGGTCCAAGTCGTTCACAGACAGGACTCGCGGGCCGTATAGGGAGGGGAGGGGTTATGCAGAGGGACTCCCGCGTCAGACTTCCTCGCAAGTCTCTCGAGTTACGCACGCACAAAGCTCCTGGCTCATTCCTTCCCCATGTCCACGATTGAAGAGGCCACAAGGGGACCGGGGACCGAGGACAAGACCGGGGCCGGTCAAAGAAATTCCGCCATTGTGAAGCGGGTGCGGAGGCCTCCAATATGCCGAAAATCCTCCAAATGGCCGACGTACGCGTGCTAGTACGAGTGGAGCGGGCGTACGGGTTCGGCTACGTAGGCGCACTAATACGACAGCAAAGTGCACGGACGGGCGTACGAGTACGGCTACGTGAGCCTACGAATACGGCGGCGGTGCGCGGCTCGGGCGTACGAGTACGGCTACGTACGTACGTACCGGTACGAGTACGACTGGAGCGGGCGTACGACTTCGGCGACGTAGGCCTACTAGTACGGCAGCAGAGTGCAAGAACGGCCGTACTTGTACAGCTACGTACGCCTCCTAATACGACGGCGGTGTGCCGGGTCGGGCGTACGAGTACGGCTACGTACTGCTACGAGTACGACTGCGACGTGCCCTGCCGAGCGTACGAGTAGGGCCAGGTACGCGTACTAGTACGACCGGAGCGGGCGTACTAGTACGGCTACGTAGGCCTACTAGTACGACGGCGGAGTGCAGGGACGGTCGTACTAGTGCGGCTACGTAGGCCTACTAGTACGACGGCGGAGTGCAGGGACGGTCGTACTAGTGCGGCTACGTAGGCCTACTAGTACGACGGCTGTGTGCGGGGCGGGGCGTACGAGTACGGCTACGTACGGCTACTAGTACGACTGCGGCGTGCACGGCCGAGCGTACGAGTACGGCTACGTACGGCTACTAGTACGACTGCGGCGCGCACGGCCGAGCGTACGAGTACAGCTACGTACGGCTACTAGTACGCCCCGCGGTCGTACTAGTAGGAGGAAGTAGGCCTACTAGTACGACGACCGGGCTAAGCAAGCCTATTCTGAATAACACATGCTAACATTATGCGAGTTGTTTGTAGATGTTTTGATGTGCTCTGCCACACTGCACTACGGTACGTAATGATCGGTCATGCTTTATATGCGGAGCAACATATGCTACGATACGCCATGCATTGCTATTCGATGCTGCACACTACTGAGATGTCATGACATGTTAAGCGGGCCATCTTTTGACCAATCTGCAGATGCATTGATCTGACCAATTCCTCCTGTGACAAGACCACACATGGGCAAAAACGGTCACAACACGAAGCGGCCGCTCTGCCCAAGTGCCCCCAGACATTCAGGTCCAGGAGTCGGAACGCAGGAGAAGCATTAAGTACAAATACTGCTGCGCCGTGGACATTGGGCACAACCAGCATGCTTACACGAAACTGAAATCGCAGAACACAAGATCGACACTGCCGGAGCTGGCACAACGCACAATGCACTCACTCACTCACTCACCATACTCGGAGGCCTGGAAATCGGCACCAGCACCAACACAGGGGGTTGCCTCCACAGGGGGAAGATGATCCTAGATTTCGGTGTTGGTGGTAATATTTCGGCCACCTTGGAAGCCACAATATTACCACCATCAGCGAGATCGGAATCTTCTTCCCTCCATGGGGGCACACCGCCGATATTGGTGTTGGTGTCAACCTCTAGGCCTCCGACATACCCTTCTAGTGCGGCAGCAAATCTTAGCCACCCATAATACACAACAGCTCTCCCCTCAGTAGCAGCCCGTGTTGTTGTACCTGCACGGCTGGTCCTCGAAGCAGCACAGGCCGGGGCAACTGGAGTCGTAGACGATGGGCAGGCCCGTGTTGATGCCCTTCACGGCCTTGCACTCAGCGTCGTTCGTGGGCGTCGTCCTCACCTTCTGCTGCGCCAAGGCTGCGGAGTAGCAGCCCGTGTTGTTGTACCTGCACGGCTGGTCCTCGAAGCAGCACAGGCCGGGGCAGCTGGAGTCGTAGACGATGGGCAGGCCCGTGTTGATGCCCTTCACGGCCTTGCACTCGGCGTCGTTCGTGGGCGTCGTCCTCACCTTCTGCTGCGCCAAGGCTGCGGAGTAGCAGCCCGTGTTGTTGTACCTGCACGGCTGGTCCTCGAAGCAGCACAGGCCGGGGCAGCTGGAGTCGTAGACGATGGGCAGGCCCGTGTTGATGCCCTTCACGGCCTTGCACTCGGCGTCGTTCGTGGGCGTCGTCCTCACCTTCTGCTGCGCCAAGGCTGCGGAGTAGCAGCCCGTGTTGTTGTACCTGCACGGCTGGTCCTCGAAGCAGCACAGGCCAGGGCAGCTGGAGTCGTAGACGATGGGCAGGCCCGTGTTGATGCCCTTCACGGCCTTGCACTCGGCGTCGTTCGTGGGCGTCGTCCTCACCTTCTGCTGCGCCAAGGCTGCGGAGTAGCAGCCCGTGTTGTTGTACCTGCACGGCTGGTCCTCGAAGCAGCACAGGCCGGGGCAACTGGAGTCGTAGACGATGGGCAGGCCCGTGTTGATGCCCTTCACGGCCTTGCACTCGGCGTCGTTCGTGGGCGTCGTCCTCACCTTCTGCTGCGCCAAGGCTGCGGAGTAGCAGCCCGTGTTGTTGTACCTGCACGGCTGGTCCTCGAAGCAGCACAGGCCGGGGCAGCTGGAGTCGTAGACGATGGGCAGGCCCGTGTTGATGCCCTTCACGGCCTTGCACTCGGCGTCGTTCGTGGGCGTCGTCCTCACCTTCTGCTGCGCCAAGGCTGCGGAGTAGCAGCCCGTGTTGTTGTACCTGCACGGCTGGTCCTCGAAGCAGCACAGGCCGGGGCAGCTGGAGTCGTAGACGATGGGCAGGCCCGTGTTGATGCCCTTCACGGCCTTGCACTCGGCGTCGTTCGTGGGCGTCGTCCTCACCTTCTGCTGCGCCAAGGCTGCGGAGTAGCAGCCCGTGTTGTTGTACCTGCACGGCTGGTCCTCGAAGCAGCACAGGCCGGGGCAGCTGGAGTCGTAGACGATGGGCAGGCCCGTGTTGATGCCCTTCACGGCCTTGCACTCGGCGTCGTTCGTGGGCGTCGTCCTCACCTTCTGCTGCGCCAAGGCTGCGGAGTAGCAGCCCGTGTTGTTGTACCTGCACGGCTGGTCCTCGAAGCAGCACGGCCGGGGCAGCTGGAGTCGTAGACGATGGGCAGCCCGTGTTGATGCCCTTCACGGCCTTGCACTCGGCGTCGTTCGTGGCTTCGTCCTCACCTCTGGCTGCGGAGAGCACCCGTGTGTTGTACCTGCACGAGTCAGGCCGGGCAGCTGGAGTCGTAGACGATGGGCAGGCCCGTGTTGATGCCCTTCACGGCCTTGCACTCGGCGTCGTTCGTGGGCGTCGTCCTCACCTTCTTCTGCGCCAGGGCTGCGGAGTAGCAGCCCGTGTTGTTGTACCTGCACGGCTGGTCCTCGAAGCAGCACAGGCCGGGGCAGCTGGAGTCGTAGACGATGGGCAGGCCCGTGTTGATGCCCTTCACGGCCTCGCACTCGGCGTCGTTCGTGGGCGTCTTCCTCACCTTCTGCTGCGCCAAGGCTGCGGAGTAGCAGCCCGTGTTGTTGTACCTGCACGGCTGGTCCTCGAAGCAGCACAGGCCGGGGCAGCTGGAGTCGTAGACGATGGGCAGGCCCTGTTTATGCCCATCCACGGCCTTCACCTCGGCGTCCGTTCGTGGCTTCGTCTCGACCTTCTAGCTGCGCCAACTGCGAGTAGAGCCCGTGTTGTTGTACTTGCACGGCTGGTCCTCGAAACCTCGAAGCAGCAAGGCCGGGCCCGCCCAGTCGTTAGATCGATGGGCAGGCCCCGTTTGATAGCCCTTCACAGCCCTTGCACTCGGCGTCGTTTCGTGGGCGTCGTCCTCACCTTCAGCTGAGCTAAAGGCTGCGATAGCACCCTGTGTTGTACCTGCCGGCTGGTCCTCGAAGGCAGCAGCAGGCCGGGGCAGCTGGAGTCGTAAGACGATGGCAGGCCCGTGTTGATGCCCTTCAAGGCCTGCACTCGGCATCGTTCGTAGGGGCGTCGTCCTCACCTTCTGCTGCGCCAAGGCTGCGGAGTAGCAGCCCGTGTTGTTGTACCTGCACGGCTGGTCCTCGAAGCAGCACAGGCCTGGGCAGCTGGAGTCGTAGACGATGGGCAGGTCCTTGTTGATACCCTCCACGTCCTTGCACTCGGCGTCGTTCGTGGGCGTCGTCCACACCTCCTGCTGCCCAGAGCTAGCCGGAGTAGCAGCCCGTGTTGTTGTACCTGCACGGTTCGTCCTCGAAGCAGCATAGGCCGGGGCAGCTGGAGTCGTAGACGATGGGCAGGTCCTTGTTGATACCCTCCACGGCCTCACACTCGGCGTCGTTCGTGGGCGTCCTCACCTTCTGCTGCGCCAGCTGCGGGAGTAGCAGCCGGTTGTTGTAACCTTGCGCGGTGGCACTCGAAGCAGCAGAGGAGGGGCAGCTGGAGTCGTAGACGATGGGCAGGCCCGTGTGATGCCCTTCACGGGCCTTGCACTCGGCGCCGTTTCGTGGGCGTCGTCCTCACCTTCTGCTGCGCCAAGGCTGCGGAGTAGCAGCCCGTGTTGTTGTACCTGCACGGCTGGTCCTCGAAGCAGCACAAGCCAGGGCAGCTGGAGTCGTAGACGATGGGCAGGCCCGTGTTGATGCCCGGCACGGCCTTGCACTCGGCGTCGTTCGTGGGCGTCGTCCTCACCTTCTGCTGCGCCAAGGCTGCGGAGTAGCAGCCCGTGTTGTTGTACCTGCACGGCTGGTCCTCGAACCAGCACAGGCCGGGGCAGCTGGAGTCGTAGACGATGGGCAGGCCCGTGTTGATGCCCTTCACGGCCTTGCACTCGGCGTCGTTCGTGGGCGTCGTCCTCACCTTCTGCTGCGCCAAGGCTGCGGAGTAGCAGCCCGTGTTGTTGTACCTGCACGGCTGGTCCTCGAAGCAACACAGGCCGGGGCAGCTGGAGTCGTAGACGATGGGCAGGCCCGTGTTGATGCCCTTCACGGCCTTGCACTCGGCGTCGTTCGTGGGCGTCGTCCTCACCTTCTGCTGCGCCAAGGCTGCGGAGTAGCAGCCCGTGTTGTTTTACCTGCACGGCTGGTCCTCGCAAGCAGCACAGGGCCGGGGCAGCTGGATGGAGTCGTAGACGATGGGGCAGGCCCGTGTTGATGCCCTTCACGCTTGCACTCGGCGTCTGGTGGGCGTCGTCCTCACCTTCTCTGCGCCAAGGCTGCGGAAAGTAGCCAGCCGTGTGTCTGTACTGCACGGCTGGGTCCTCAAAGCAAGCAAAGGCGGGGCAGCTGGAATCGTAGACGATGGGCAGGCCCGTGTTGATGCCCTTCACGGCCTTGCACTCGGCGTCGTTCGTGGGCTTCGTCCTCACCTTCTGCTGCGCCAAGGCTGCGGAATAGCAGCCTCGAAGCAGCACAGCCGGGGCAGCTGAATGTAGACGACGGCACCTTCTGCTGCCCAAGGCTGCGGAGTAGCAGCCCGTGTTGTTGTACCTGCACGGCTGGTCCTCGAAGCAGCACAGGCCGGGGCAGCTGGAATCGTAGACGATGGGCAGGCCCGTGTTGATGCCCTTCACGGCCTTGCACTCGGCGTCGTTCGTGGGCGTCGTCCTCACCTTCTGCTGCGCCAAGGCTGCGGAGTAGCAGCCCGTGTTGTTGTACCTGCACGGCTGGTCCTCGAAGCAGCACAGGCCGGGGCAGCTGGAGTCGTAGACGATGGGCAGGCCCGTGTTGATGCCCTTCACGGCCTTGCACTCGGCGTCGTTCGTGGGCGTTGTCCTCACGCTCATTTGCTCATGCCGATTCACCTGCATCATCTGCGAGCTCTTCTGGAGCATGCCTGTGTCATCCTGCTCTCCCGCGGGGCACTGCTGCCCCACAGCGCAGGAAGCTTGCGGGCCCGAAGCGTGCGCGAGTGCCAGCAGCGAGGCCGCGGCGATGAGGAGCGCCATCGGCTGCAAACTGTAGTCTTTCTCGCTTCTAGCAAAACAAAGACAGGCGCACTTGAGCCAAAATGGCTATAGATGCTGCGCCATGGACATTGTGCACAGCTGACACCCAAAACATGTCAAGCTACGCGCAAGCATGCTGACACAGCTGGCACAGCAGCATAGCTGACACAGCAACACAGCTGGCACAAACACAGCATGGACATTGGGCACAGCTGGCACAAACATGCTGACGCAGAAACACTGTCAAACTACGCGCAGTCCTGATAAGTTGCAGGACGCGAAGCTCGACACTGCCTGAGCTGCCGCAACGCCTACCTTGATGGCCCCAATGGGTGGGGGCCAAATTAAAGACACCGTACCTGCTGTTCGACGGTCTCCAAAATGGTTCCAAGAAGCCCCCCAGGGCCCCAAAGGGACCAAAAGGGCTCCAACAGGGCCCTTAAACCTCAAACCCCCAAGAAGAGCTTCAAGAGACACCAAGATCCACCGAAAGAGTCCCGCGATGTGAGGGCTCTGTCCTCGTCCTCGTTGTCGTCTTCCTCCTTCTCGTCCTCGTCCTGGCCCTCGTCGGCTTCCTTGTCCCGTTCCTCCTCCGCGTCGTCGCGGTCGTCGTTGTCGTTGTCGTTTTCCCCCTTTTTTCTCGCCACTTCGCGGGCCGCAGGGGTGGCCCGAAGAGACGCGCCAAGGCCATCCCGTTGCCCCCAAGGATCTCTCTGCTCACTCTGGTTGCCCGCTCTGTTTCACTACGCGAACCTCTTCGCAACATTCCCCGTCAACTCTCACGGGCGGGGTTTCCGCGTGGGCTGGCGAAGACGCGCGAAGCGCGAATAATTTCGGACGTTCCGCCCCTCCTCCTCCTCCTCCTCCTCCTCCTCCTCCTCTTCCTCCTCCTCCTCCTCCTCCTCCTCCTCCTCCTCCCCTCTCCTCCTCTCCTCCTACTCCTCCTCCTCCTCCTCTCCTCCTCCTCCTCCTCCTCCTCCTGCGCCTCCTCCTCCTCCTCCTCCTCCTCCTCCTCCTCCTCCTCCTCCTCCTCCTCCTCCTCCTCCTCCTCCTCCTCCCTCCTCCTCCTCCTCCTCCTCCTCTTCCTCCTCCCAATCCTCCTCCTCCTCCTCCTCCTCCTCCTCCTCCTCCTCCTCCCTCCTCTCCTCCTCCTCCTCCTCCTCCTCCTCCTCCTCCTCCTCCTCCTCCTCCTCCCCTCCTCCTCTCCTCCTCCTCCTCCTCCTCCTTCCTCTCCTCCTCCTCCTCCTCCTCTCCTCCTCCTCCTCCTCCTCCTCCTCCTCCTCCTCCTCCCTCCTCGTTCTCGTCCTCGTCCTCGTCCTCGTCTTTGTCCTCGTCTTCGTCCTCCTCCTCATCATCCTCATATGATTATGTTTCATAAAATGATTATTATTATTCGTCTCCTTCTTATTATTATTAGTATTATTTTGTTTGTTCTTGTTCGTCTTCTTATTATTGTTCCTCCCCCTCCTCCTCTTCCTCCTCCTCCTATTATTATTATTATTATTCATGTTATGTTTCTTATTATCAGTATGATTATTCGTATTATTCTTATTAGTAGTATTGTTTAAATTCTTAGTATTATTAGTATTGTTCGTATTATTACTTTTACCTAGCAGCGACGACTGATAGATTTCGAATGGTCTCAAAAGAAAGCATCATGACTCCCCCGGGGGGACTGGGCAGGATCTGGGGAGAATCCGCGGTTCCGCCAGTGACTATGGGGAACGCACCACTGAGGCTGAGGCTGAGGCCCCCAGCGCCGCCAGTGACTATGGGGAACGCACCACTGAGGCTGAGGCTGAGGCCCCCAGCGCCGCCAGTGATTATGGGGAACGCACCACTAAGGCTGAGGTTGAGGCCCCCAGCGCCGCCAGTGCCTATGGGGAATCCACCGCTGAGGCTGATGCTGAGGCCCCCAGCGCCGCCAGTGACTATGGGGAATCCGCCGCTGAGGCTGAGGCTGAGGCTGAGGCAGGCTGAGGCTGAGGCTGAGGGAGGCTCAAGCTGAGGCTGAGGCTGAGGCTGAGGCTGATGCAGGCTGAGGCTGATGCAGGCTGAGGCTGAGGCCGAAGCTGAGGCAGGCTGAGGCTGAGGCAGGCTGAGGTTGAGGCTGAGGTTGAAGCTGAGGCTGAGGCTGGCTGAGGCAGACGCTGAGGCAGGCTGATGCTGAGGCAGGCTGAAGCTGAGGCCGAGGCTGATGCAGGCTGAGGCTGAGGCCGAGGCTGAAGGCAGACTAAGGCTGCACACGCTGAAGCAGGCTGATGCTGAGGCAGGCTGAGATTCCCGGGTTATTTTTTGAACGCGAGGAGCCCACTGTAGCCCACTTCGCGTTCTTCGTGTTCCTCGCTGCCGACGATCCAGCGGCGACAGGTGCTCCTCCGCCTTGTCCAACTGGTCTTCCAACTGGCAAACAAGCGCGAATACGAGGTCGATAGATGCGGAGCATGCAAATGCAAACGAATCTTGGAAATCACCGTGCTGGCGGGACTGAGTTCCAAACTGACAATGCCGCATTTGTTGCCTGGAGACCTCCTGGCTTTGTCTGGTCGGTGGCCGGTTCCAGCCGGATCGCGCCGTGCCCTGCGACTGATCACGCCCGGCATGACCGCGAAGATTCGCAAGCAGCAGGCTTTGAATGCGATATCTTTGACACTCGGCTCCGGCGGTAATGGCAAGTCCGTTCCTGTCTGCACCATATCAGCAATGTTGTGTTTCTGGAATGAGCACGAGAATAACGTGCTGCACTGGGCGCGGGAGTGGGTGCCCAAGGTGCTGCCGCGCCAAGCGGCGAGCCGCTGAATCGGCTGCCCTCACCGGGCCGGTTGTCTCACTTTTGCCTGCGGTGCTTCTCAGCCCGCAGTTGCTTTTCTGGACGCGTCGGTGCTGATGGGGCAGCACTGATTCCTTTGCAAACAATTCGGTTATTCTGACCCGTCTCTCACTTGCAGACAAACCAATCATTGATAGCAGTGTCTCGTTTCCGCACAAGTCCTCTGTTCAGTCAATGTCTTGTTTGCACGCAAATCAAGTATCGATAGCACTGTCCCGCTTGCAGACACGTCCAGCATTGATAGCAGCGTCTCGTTTCCACACAGTTCCACTATGCATAGCTATGTCTCGTTTGTACACATATCGATCTTGATAGCAGCATTCTGTTCGAAGCCTGTGTCTTGCTCGAAGTTCCATCAATTGATAGCAGCGTCTCCTTTGGGGATACGTCCATTGACAGCAATGTCTCGTCTCGAGATAGATGGCGGTGTCCTTTTCGGAGATGATTCCATTGGTAGCAGCGTCTGTGGAGCTAAATCCATTAATAGCAGCGCCTCGTGTGAATATGCAACTATCCAAAGCGCTGACTCGTTCGAAGCTAGCAACTGAAAACGAAGCGAGGACCGGAGGAGGAGAGGAAACTGGGAGGAGGAACTGGGGGGGTGCCTGTGGTGCCTCTAGTGTCTGCGGGGCCTGGCGTGCCTGCGGTGACTGTCGTGTCTGGCTGCTATTACTACTACTACTGCTGTTGCTGATCCTGCTACTGCTCCTGTAGCTACTGCTATTCCACCGACTGCCATTGCCACTAGTGCTGCTACTGCAAGCACTGCCGTTGCCACCAGTACGAACACTTCTTAGCCTTCCTGTGCTGATTGTACATATCAACATGCGACGGGATCCGCAGCCACGAGTTTGCTCGAGATCCACCTGTGCGCCCAGCCGCGGCGGTGCTCCTCAGCCTGCTTTGCCGCAATGGCAGGGCGCGACAAGGCGGCGTCGCCCCCGCCACCCCCGCCACCACCTGATGTCCTGGAAGAGCCTCTGCCGCTCCCCCCTGAGCCGCCCCCCCAGCCTGGTTTCGACGTGGTATTTGAGCGGGCACACCTTGAAGAGGCCCCCCGCGCACCAGGCACGGGTGGCAAGACCGCCTGCCAGTGGCAACGCACGCTGCGCACACTGTGCGTTGCCAACGACGTGTCCTTCACAGACGTGACAAACGACCCGTTGTACGACTGGAAGCAACTGCTTCGGTCTGCCGATCCGGGTCTCGCTGCCCGCGCCATCGGCCCGGGCATCGTCCGCGTTGTCTTTCGCATTGTCGAGACCGAGCGCGACCCAAACTACTCCAACACGGATGGCCACGGCAGGCATTTCTTCGAGTTCCTTCGCGCGGACGGCTCAGCCATGCGCTTGCATTGCCACAAGCGCGGCCGACCCGATGAGCCCACCTATATCGGTCCACCACGCGGCGCTGCTCAGCCTGCGGTGCCTAGCGCTGCCGCTACTCAGCCTGATGTGCGTGGCGGCGGCGCTGCTCAGCCTGCCGTGCCTGGCGGTGATGCCCCACTGCTTTTCACACTGGGGCACCTGCAAGAGGCCGCCCGCTCACGCCAGACTGTGGGCCGCGACGAAGCGAGCGCCGCTCTCCAAACGCTGTTGCACTACCACCATGGCGAAACTGCCCCAAGTGCTCTTGACATCACCGATGGCTCAGCCTTTCACTGGCTTCGATGGGTGGCGCAGATCGAGGGTGCGCGCGACGTCATCCGGGATGGCGTCCACAGGGTGTACGTTGCCCGCTGGACTCCGCACTGGGCCCCAGAGGCCGTCTTCTGCTACGGCAACAACACGCGCAGCACACTGGTGCCTCGCAAGGCACGATACACAGGCTCATGGACACAGACGCGCTTTAGGATGCACAGCGACGCCAATTGGGTGATAGAGCCGTTGTAGTCTGCGGCCCCTGTGGCAGCTACGCCATGGCTGTTATTGCGGGATCCGGTGACCTGGGAGTGATCTTTGGCAAGCGAGATGTGGTGCTTCTCAGCCTGCACTCGTGTGTAGCGCTATGCCGTGGCCTGCGCTCGCGTGGTGCTTCTCAGCCTGCACTTGTGTGGTGCTTCTCGGCCTGCACTCGTGTGTAGCCGTGGGTAGTGAGATACTGGGCGCCTCAGTCTGCATCCTGCATGCAGTTTGGCTGCTGTGCAAACAATGGTACAGACCAACGCAGT